AAAGTGGGGAGAGTGGATGTCTCTGTCCCAGTCACCAAGTATGAAATAAACTGTGGGTTTGGGACAATGCCTTTTACTGGGTTGAAAAGGTTTCTTTCCATTCTCAGTTTGCCAAAAATTTTATTTATCATACACTCCTAGAGTTTTTCTCTGTTATTCTCCTACTATGGCAAATTACATTGGTTTGATTTTCAAATGTTAAACAATCATTGCATTCCTGGGAGAAATGATGTGCTGTGGTGGATCCAATTTGCTACTATTAAGTTCAAGAATTTTGAATTTTTCTGCCTCACTGCCAGCCTAGGGTGACACTAACCAGGTGTTACTGCAATTCAGTTCTGACCCTAACTCCCCAAAGTCTGCCATAAGACTGCCACTTCAGATGCCAGTCGCAAGCGCCAAGGTGATGAGGGTGCTGGTCCCCAGGCTACCTGCACTTCTTATTGACCGGCTGTAAATTTGGAGGTCTCGTTGGTCCCCTTTAAGAACTCAGGAAATATTTACAATACTTAATGATTAAAGTTTTGTTACAAGAGGTACACCTTGAGTGATGTCTGGGAGGGTCCTCAATGCAGAGCTTCTGTTCCCTCTCTTCTTTGAATTAGGGTGTGTCACCCTCCTGGCAGATCCAGGAAAAGGCCACTCTACTGAGCTTTGGGGGACAGATTTTTTATTGAGGCTTCCTTACATAGGCACATCTGATTTAATCATTGGCTATGTAGGGGCACTTGGGTGGCTCAGTTGGTTGAACATCCAACTTCGGCTCAGGCATGATCTCCCTGTTCGTAGGTTTGAGTCCTGCATTGGGCTTTGTGCTGACAGCTCAGAGCCTGCAGCCTGCTTCAGAGTGTGTGTCTCCCTCTCTCCCTACCCTTCTCCTGCTTGCACTCCGTGTCTCTCTCTCTCTCAAAAACAAAGAAACATTAAAAAAAAAAAAAAAAAGCCTAAATCATTGGCCATGTGATTGAACACAATCTCCAGACCCCTCAACCCTGTCATCACATGGCTGGTCATTCTGGTTACCAGTCTTGACACTGAAGTTTTCTAGGGGCCCATTGTGAGTCACCTCATTAGCGTTACAAAGCTACTCCTGTCACTCAGGAAATTATAAGGGACAAAAGCTAAATTCTTTATTGTACAACAATGCTCATGAGGAAAATGGCCTATAATTTTGTTTTTGGAGTGTCAGTTTTTGGTATCAGGGTATTGTTGATCTCATAAAACTAGTTAGGAAATATCCCTACCATTTCTATTTTCTGAGAGTTTAGTAATGTTGGTGTTGTTTTGAAAAGACATTCATAGGGGCGCCTGGGTGGCTCAGTTGGTTAAGCGTCCAACTTCGGCTCAGGTCATGATCTCACAGTCTGTGGGTTCGAGCCCCATGTCAGGCTCTGTGGTGACAGCTAGCTCAGAGCCTGGAGCCTGCTTCAGATTCTGTGTCTCCCTCTCTCTGCCCCTCCCCTACTTGCTCTCTGTCCCTGTCTCTCAAATTAAAGACAGAAAAAAAAATTTTTTTTAAAAGAAAAGACATGCATAAGTTCAATGGAGGCTGCAGTAAAGTGTTCTGGACACAATATTCTTGGTAATGCCGTTTGTATTACTTTTTTTGATGAAGGATTATAGTTTGATATTAACTGAAATCCTTAAGTCTTTTATCTCATCAATTACTCCAAAGTCAAAGCTCTCCTGTTTCTTTTTTTTTTTTTAATGTTTATTTATTTATTTTGAGAGAGAGAGAGAAACAGCAAATGGAGGGGAGGGGCAGAGAGAGAGGGAGAGGGAGAATTCCAAGCAGGCTCTGGGCTGTCAGCACAGAGCCCGACGCAGGGCTTGAACTCATGAACTGTGACATCATGACCTAAATGGAAATCAAGAGTCAGATACCTAACCAGCTGAGCCACCCAGGTGCCCCAAAGTTCTCCTGTTTCTTGTATATTTAATTATTTTTGGAATTTCAGCCTACCATTCATCCTTAGAAATTTTAAGCCATTGTCTTAGCCCACTGAACCCATTTAGAACTTCATTTCTCTTGTTGGTTAACTAATCATCCCCCTGCTTTGTGTCAGCTGCCATTTGTGTCTCTTCCAAGTTGTTGATGAAAATCTAGATTCTGTTCTAACCAAGGTCAGAGTCCAGTGGTCTGTTGATAAAGGCGGCCTCTGAGTTGACATCACTTCATTAAATCAACTTTCTTGGCTACTGTTCAACAACTAGTAAATCTGCTTGGTTTTATTTTTCCCCCATTTATTTCTCCAACTTCTCTTCTGAGATGCTCTTGAATACCTTGGGCTAGAAACTATCACAGAATGTCTGGAAATCATATTGGAATTCATCCTGAAATCAGACCTGACTTGTTGGTGAGTCTAACTCCTAGATGTGACAGTTTTCTACTTTCTTACAAACACCAGTTTGATAGCCCTCTCTCCTCCCCCATTTTTTAAAATGTTTATTTATTATGTTTTTTTAAAGGGAGAGCGAATGAGAGAGGGCATATGCAGGAGCATGGGGAGAGGCAGAGAGGGAGACAGAGGATCCGAAGCAAGCTCTGTGCTGACAGCATGTGGGGCTAGAACCCAGGAACTGTGAGATCATGGCCTGAGTTGAAGTCAGATGCTTAACTGACTGAGCCACCCAGGTGCCCCTTGATAGCCCTGTCTTAAGTTTTGCTGTGAATTTCTCTCTCTCAGTGATCCTGTCCTTACCAGGATCAGTATCATTTTATGAAACTAGGGAAAAAATCTATCTCTGTTCCTCCGGAACTTTTCCTCTTTTGTATGTTTTCTTAGAAACTAGAAGATCTGCAAAATATTTTTAATACCCAAGGCTGTGTATAATTTGTCTCTGATGGGAGACCTGATTTATTTCTAAATGGTGATATGCTACTACAATTATAACATATTTTGGGTTTCAGGTTCACTATAATATTTATTTTACTTTTTTTTAACTTGAAGATTTTTTCCCTTGGTATAGAAAATAGGAGTAAAATAGAAATAGAGCAGTTTATAGCCTAATAGTGGTTTAAAAAAATTTTTTAGTGTTCATCGTTTGAGAGATGGAGAGAGAGAGAGAGAGAGACAAATCATGAGCAGGGGAGGGGCAGAGAGAGAGGGAGTCACAGAATCTGAAGCAGGCTCCAGGCTCTGAGCTGTCAGCACGGAGCCTGATGCAGGGCTCCAACTCACGAACTGTGAGATCATGACCTGAGTCAAAGTTGGATGCTTAACTGACTGAGCCACCCAGGCACCCCAACTTCCCCCTCTATTTCTTTCCATCTTTCTGTGAGTGCATAATTACTTCAAAAGGAAAAGATTTTTAACTTTAATAACTATTAAATGATTTCATGTTTAAAATGTAGGAAATTCAGAAAAATTATGTTCACATCTCATTACACATTTATAATTATGATAAAAACACTGATGTGTTTCCTTTCAAACTTTGTCTGTAAATATAGACACTTGGGTATATATATGTATATAAATGATTTTCCTTCAGATTGGAATGATAACACGCATGCAGATTAATTTCAGCCTTTTTGTTACACAAATAGTATGTGAATTCATTTTAAGACATTCAAACCACGGTGACATACCAAAGCAAAATGGTCAGGTCTCCCTTGAATCTCCACACATTCACTCTCCATACAGATGTCACACATGATGTGAGCCATTGGTTCACTTCTTTCCAGGCCCTTCTCCCTTAAATATACTCACATATGTACATACACACATAGATAGATCACCAAGACTTGTGGATCTTTCCATGTGGGTGCTCATGGGCCTCTCATTGTTTATGGCCATTGCCTCAGTGTATGAATGGACTATAATTTATTTAAGTACTCTATTGTTGATGAGCACATAGGTTGTTTTATTTTGGTGGTAGGGGTGGTGGTTGTTACTTAAGTGGACGTCTGCATACTCATATGTATTTCTTTCCTGGAAGCCTTTCTGGACACCCCATTCTTGTCTGTGTATCCACAGTGCCTCTTCCACAACGCTTGTACCCCCCCATGGAAGCACAGCCATCTACATGTCTCCCCACCCCAAATTATTAATTAGTGTGATTATTACATATCAGTTATTGATTACCTTAGCACCATCACCCAGCACAGTGCCTGGCACATCGGAACTGTGTGAATGAATGAGTCAACTTATGAACAAACACATGAATTATGAACAGACTCTGAGTCAGAGATCCCTTCACTGGGACAAAGGAGCATCGTGATAATGAAGTCACTTGTATTTGCATCGTGGCTCTTGCACTTAAACTCCTTCCCATCTTTTCTCCTTTATACTTCTAACCAGTTCTGTGACAAAGCAGAGCAGATTTTGTTTACACCCATTTTGTTGACACAAAGGGCTTAAGGAAGTCCAGGGAGAAAGGGCCAACAGTGCAGGCTTCCCGCCACAGGGCTGCTGCTGGACACGTCAAGTTTCATCAAATCAGCTGTCTGTGGACTATGCCCAAGCACCTGAATTTTGTGACCTTGTAAAAGAACTGCGTAAACCATTCTTCTTCTTCTTCTTTACATCTGTGCTTAATTTTGAGGACACTTCAGTGACACCTGAACCCATCTCAAAAGTTCATATTGGGGAACTACATGCCATTCTGACCAGAGATGTGTGGGGGGCGTTGTGCTTCCTATGATGATCCAAAACTGTGAGTGTTTGCAGGGAGAGGCCACTCTATCTTGTAATTAACTCAAGTAAACTTTTCTAAGCCCTTCTACAAAGAGAGTGTTAAGTAGAGAAGTGGTTTAAAGAATGTTGATCGTTGACACTTAGTTTGAGCAAGCAGATTTATGACAAGAAGGCCATATGCTTTTTCCTTCTTTTTTTTTGTTTTGTTTTTTGTTTTTTTTGAGGATTAGAGTCCTTTATTGGGGGATGTCAGCAAAGAATACAGGAGATGGGAACAAGTCTTAGGGGCTTGAGAGTGGGCTTAGAGTAGAGGAGCCCATTCTGGGAGAATGGGCAGGTCCCAGGCATGTGCAGAGGAAGCTATCAGGGGGTTTCCAGGGGTATGATGAAGGAGAGATAGTCACCAAGGGCACCCCAACAGGGCCGGTAGATCTGGAAGATGGTGATCCCAGTGGTGAGTACAATCACCCAGAAGAGGAAGCCCACAGCTGAGCGCCAGACATAGCCTTTAATTTGGCTCTGCTCTGTATATGCCGGGACTAGGAAGGCCTCTCGAAAGAACCAGAAGATGTTGACCAACCAGAGAAAAGGCAGGAAAGCAAACCCACCCAGGTAGTACTTCCGGCACAGATTCAGCTTCTCCTCGTTGGACACCAGCTCCAAGTTCATAGTTGCGCTGAGGCCGAGTCATCCTGAGGGTCTGTAGGGCAAGAGCCAAGCCTTGACCCCAGGTGACAGATGCAGGGATTGCGAACAACCACGCCCCAGTGAAGTCTATTTCCTCTGCCTGGAAGCCTTTGCCCTGTTTTTTCCTTCTTGATACCACTTGTTTCCCCCCCAATACTCCCCTGGCCGTGACATAATAGCTGTCTTTAAGAGACATGAGCAAGGAAGTACTTTGTCTAAAGGGCATTATTCTGAGTCAACAAAGCCAATCTCAAAGGTTACATGCTGTATGATTCCATTTATATGTCATTCTCAAAATGATAAACTTACAGTGATGACTAGTCAGGGGTTACCTTGGGTAGGGTGTTCCTAAAGCACGAGGGAGTGGTTTTTTTTGTTTTGTTTTGGTTTGGTTTGGTTTGGGTTTTTTTGATGTTGAAATAGTTCTAGATCTGTATAGAAATCTGTACCTGTAATAAAATTTCATAGAACTCTATACCAGTACACCCCCCCCCCAATAAAACAGAACAAAAATTGGTAAAATCTGAATATGGCCTGTATTTGAGTTAATAGTATTAAAGTGACTAAAGTCACTTTCCTGGTTTTGATCATTGTACTATGATTATGTAAGAGCTTACAATTAAGGGAAGCTGGTGAAGGGTGTACAAGAACTCTGTACTATTTCTGTAATTTATTATAAATTGAAAGTTATTTCAAAACAGTTTTGTTTTTATTTTTACTTTTTTAATTTTTTAAAAATTATTTATTTACTTTTGAGAGACAGAGACAGAGCATAAGTGTGGGGGAGGGGCAGAGAGAGAGGGAGACACAGAATCCAAAGCAGGCTCCAGGATCTGAACTGTCAGCACAGAGCCCAACACAGGGCTCGAACTCAGAAACCAGGAGATCATGACCTGAGCCGAAGTCAGACGCTCAACCAACTGAGCCACCCAGACGCCCCAAAGTTTTGTTTTTAAAAAGCATTTTGGAGGCACCTGGATGGCCATGTTGGTTAAGCGTCCGACTTTGGCTCAGGTCATGATCTCACAGTTTGTGGGTTCGAGCCCCGCATCGGGCTGTGCTGACAGCCAGCTCAGAGCCTAGAAACTGCTTCAGATTCTGTGTCTCCCTCTCTCTCTGACCCTCCCCTGCTCACACTGTGTCTCTCTCTCAGAAATAAATAAAACATTAAAAAAAATTTTTTTAATAAAAATCATTTTGTCTTGGGCAAAACCCAATCCTAAAATAAGGAACAGAACTGCCAAAGGTTTTGCTGTATGGTATTTAATGGAGGAATGCATTGTAGGTTAGTGGGTCGGGATTTTTAGCTATGACATGTATGCTAATACTACTTCACTATTGTATGTCCCTAGGCAAATTATTCAACTTCCTTCTCTAAAATAGGGATATAGCAGTGTCTACCTTATAGAATATTTATGAGGATTCAGTGAAATAATGAGTGTAACGCCCTTGTTACAGGGGCAACCTATAGGAATAACTCAAATGTTACCTGTTACAAAATTTTTTGTATACAGTGGTTACTATCTCGTTGTCAATTCTGAGCTCCCTTTCTATCAAGAATGGTGGACTTATGCTGATCTGTATGGTTTTTATTTTTTTTTAATACTCATTTCAGTTTTAAATCCACATTTAGATAACAGCTAAGCCAGCTTTAGGTTTTAGTTGGATGGAGTCAATAATATTCATTGTAATAATAATACTAAATTCTAAAATAACTAGAATATTCATAATATCACAATACTTTCTGTAAAGACTGACTTTGAACTTCACAGCAAGTTGAGATATAGTTAAGCTTTTTAAAAAAAATTTTTAGTGTTTTATTTATTTCTGAGAGAGAGAAAGAGACAGCGTGAGCAGGGGAGGGTCAGAGAGAGAAGGAGACACAGAATCCGAAGCAGGCTTCAGGCTCTGAGCTAGTTGCCAACACAGAGCCCGACGCGGGGCTCGAACCCACGAACCGCAAGATCATGACCTGAGCCGAAGTCAGACACTTACCCGACTGGGCCCCCCAGGCGCCCCAGTTAGGCATTTTTAATACCCATTTTCAGATTAGGAAAAAACTTGCAGCTATTAAAGGACCTACTTGCTTAAGGTCTAGTCTCTGTGTAGCAGCTGGAATGATTCTGATAAAACACAAGTTAGATGATATCAGTCTCCTACTCAAAGCTCCAGGTTTCCCATCCTACTTAGAGGACAAAGCAAAGGCCTTTTCCCTTTGCCTAGAACCCCCACCTCCAACACACACCCTCTGCGTTGGGCCGCTCCCTCAGGAGCCACCTCTGACCTGAATATTTAATATCAGAGCCCACTTCCCCACCCACCTCTGGACCTCTGATCCTTTTCTCTTTTTCCATAGCATTAACCACCTTCTGATAGAGCCTGCAGCTTAGTTATTTATGAAGGTTATTATTTCTTACCTACTTCCCTCTGTGAGACTATGAGCTCTGTAAGGGCAGGGATCTCTCTTATTCATGCATATGCACCAAGCGCCTGGGAAAATGTCTGCAACCTAGTAAGTACTTGCTAAATATCTGTTGATTGAATGAATTCAGGGCAGATGGGATGTTCCAAGCTAATGAGCAATTTCCTTTATGGGAAGACTGCTTCTACTGCTTTGCCTCTTTTGCTCTAGGGGAAAAACAAAAAATGAAAGGGTTGCTTAATCCAGAACTCAAAGAATTGCCCCAACTGGTGCTCTTAGAAGTTGCTTTCTCAGCAAGTCTGGTTGTCCTTCCCTCAAGGGAACATCATGTTACTGAATGTTCTTTAAGGTATCTTTCAGGGGTGCCCGGCTGGCTCCATGGGTAGAGCCTGGGACTCTTGATCACAGGGTTGTGAGTTCAAGCCCCACATTGGGCGTGGAGCGTACTTAAAACAATAATAATAATAAAATAAAATATCTTTCAGACCTTATGTCAGAGGCTATCTTTTTTTAAACCAGCAGAAGACCAAGCAAGTGGGGCATGAACAATCGTGATGAGTTAGGTGAGATGTTAACAGTCAAGGGGACGGCCCGCTGGGAGAGGACATGGCTCAGAGAGATTAGAGGCTCCAGTGCTGGAGTCACTCGGGAGAGAGTGGGTGGTAGGGTGGGGATTTAAGGAGGTGGATGATTTTTTTCTCTGGAAAGCCACAAGGACTCCGACTATAAAACTTCAAGGTCTATTCCAGTCTGGTGGTTATTGTTCATCCAGACAGAGAAGAGGAAAGTGACAGCCAACGGTCTTTCCCAGCACACACTAGTTATTCTATTCAACCCAGGCTTATACGTGAGTCTCTAGCTGGGAACTACATAAAAAGAAGTATATATATATATATATATATTTTTTTTTTTTCAAGAGAGAGAGAAAGAGAGAGAGTGCATGCGTGCAAGAGGGGAAGGGCAAAGGGAGGGGAGGGAGGACAGAGGATCTAAAGTGGGCTCTGTGCTGATAGCAGAGAGCCTGATGTGGGGCTCCAATTTAGGAACTGTGAGACCATAACCTGAGCCAAAGTCTGATGCTTATTAACTGATTAAGCCACACAGGAGCCCCCAAAGGAAATCTACATAACTGAATACATTAAGCGAAGAAGACCATATTTAGCCTTGAGTTTGGGTCCACCTGCTTTTGAAGAAAGTTAACTTTGGTTTGAACTAGGTTGTACTTCTCCCTGCTGGTGTCTGGCCTGTGGGCATTAACCACCCCAGGGCACAGGAAGTACAGCTGTAATAGGTGGTTTAGCTACTTCTGGGCGATTCCATATTAATGTGGATGTCTTGTGCCAGAGAATTTGCTAGAGGTTGTTTTCCTGACTTTGTGTGCACTTTGAGAAGAAACACAGAAAGGAAAAGCGACTTCCTACTTAACCTAACATCGTGGTCCTGATAAGCAGTTTCACTTTCAGCATTGATAAACCTCCGAAGGGGCCTCAGTTGTCTTACTTAGGGATGTGTTGCTGGCCAGCGGATGTCACAAAATGAATCCACCCACTTTTTTTTTCCAGGACCTTCTGACCAGTTTGGAATGTGATCTGTGTTTTGTACTCAAGCGTTTCCCAAGCATTTTGACAAGAGTAATTGAAGTCAAATAACTGTGTTTAGTTCAACTATATTAAAAATATAAATTGCACAGCAGCTCTCTGTATTTTCTGATTGAGCCAAAGCAAATTTTTCTAAATATAAGCCAAGTTTTGCACATTCATGTAGCCTGTGAAATGGGTGTCTTACTTGAGAGCTTATGACCTGGAAGGTTAAAGATGATGCTTCATCATGAAAATCAAAGCATCCCAGGCCAGACTGTGAAATAATAGTTGGCTGTATGGGCGATGTGCAGTGGCTTAGAAGGATAAGGTCTTGATCCACATCTGGGACATGTCTGTCTTCTTTTGTAAAATCAATGGCTGACAGAGTGCCCAAAGTCACAATGCCATGTCAATGCTTCTTTTCCAACTCTTGCTTCCCAGTCATCTCTCCCTCTCTTTGCAGAAGTAGAAAGACCTCTCCCTGATTTATCTGGAGTCACTACGGGGCATCCGTTCTCAAATGTTTTGGTCTCGGGATCCTTTGACAGTCTTGGAAATTACTGAGAACCAAAGAGGTTTTGCTTATGTGAGTTCTATCTGTTGATAAGTACTGAATGAGAAATTCAAAGAAAACTTGTAAAGCAAAAAAATAAACAAGCCCGTAGTCCATTAGCTGAGAGAGCTAATGACATCATCACACAACACACAGCCTCTGGAAAATTCCATCACACATTCCTGAGAGAATGAAAGTGGAAAGGACAAATAACATCTTTCCATTATTATTAGTGCTGTTGTTGTTGTTAATATTATTATTATTATAAAAATAGTTTTCATCTTAAGGGCTCCTAAAAGGGCCTCTGATATATCCAAGAGTTTCCAGACCACACTTTGACAGTGGCTGCTATAGTGCTTTGGCACTATAATGTTAAGAAATTTCCAGACCATTACATAGAAAATTCCAAATTTTGTTCAGCAAAGGAGTTGCCCTTCCAGTAAAATTTTACTGTTTAAGATTTATACTTATTGTCCTGACAAGTTGTCCCCTATAAATAGTTATGAGGATCATCAATCTATATCTCAATGTATATGTGTATTTTTGT